TGTTGGTTGATTCATATTCTTTCTCGAAAAATATGATTTTGATTTCTAAAAACAAAAAAGCTTTCACAGTGGATAAAACAATGCAGTAATGCTGCAGACCTCGCTTTTACACAGCAGATGCTTTTAACCACCAAAGGGGCCTGTCAGGCTTTAAAGCTTTATTGAAACACAGGCTTTGTGTTTGAAAATCTGTGCTCATATAGTAGTTGTACTTATTTTGAGTACGCTTGGCTGAAATATTGGCCTTTGTTTGGAATTCTGAGCACTAATGGATCTGCACACAGAGTTAAATGAGTGTCTCTTACAATTGCCCTGCAACAAAGGTATGTTAAACTAATAGAGAAAATTGCTGCATTCGAACACCTGGATATAATGTAGTGTAAGTGGAGTATCTGACTCTAAAACACCTAACATTTTTTATTTTTAAAAAAATTCGAATATGTTCCACTGTTGACATCAGTTTTATTCATCCTTTTTTGTAAAAATATCTTTACATGCCCATAATGTATTAGGTCTAACACAAGCCTGCTGTATGCAATTGTGTTATTATGAATTATAATATTTGGATTTCTTGTACTTATGATCCCATATTGCTTGTTTCTGTTTAAGATAGTGTAAAGAAGAGTGGCACAGTGGAACTGTGGTTAGCGTGGCTGGGCTCTGGGTTCAATTCCTGGGGTGCTACCCTAGAGGGGTTTGTACAGTATGTTCTCCCCTTGTTCAAGCGGGTTTCCTCTAGGTCCTCAGGCTCCCTCTCACAGTTCAAAGACACACTAGTAGGTTCATTAGCTTCAGGGAAGATGTGAGTGTGTGCATGTTTATGCCTGTGTGTGTCCCGTGATGGACTTGTGTCCCACCCAGGGTGTGCCCTGCCTTGCGCCTGTCGCTTGCTGGGAGAGTCTCTGTTTCCCCAGGACCCTGTATTGGATCAGGTGATTAGAAAACGGATGGACGGATGTTGTAAAAGAGAAGGCAATAAGAGAGGGCACTTTGCTAAATAATAACCCAGAATCAGGTGAATAGTAGTAGGAGGTCTTTGGAACTCATGGGTTTCCCATGGACCAGCGAATTGTGCAGGTGACTGATCAAGTCGAACGGGCTGAAACCCTGTGCTGAATGGATAGGTGCTGCACTCAGAACATCAAAACGTCCCAAATAATGAACCTTGATCTTGGACTGTTTTTATACCAGAAAAGGGTTCCAGGATATTTGACACACATCACTGGTTTCCTTTTGAATTCAATCCAGAAGGGCGATAGCTCTTTTTCTTTAGGCGTTTTTAATAAATACCAAACACTCTCTTATTTACCATTGCATTGAGAGTATTATAATACGGGACTTATTTATTAAAAAACAACAACTTTAGCTTATTTATGAGGGACTTATTTATAAAACGTTAGTTTTAAAGTTGAACATATATCCTGTATTTACCTTATAACGTTTTTCAGTTTATGTTTGGTTTAATATGAAATGATTATCTGGACCTTGACGAATGAGAAAGGCTTCACAGTCTTCCTAGATTTCCTAAATTGCAGTGTCTCACGCGCTTTTGACTTCATGCATAGGATTGTTCAGACTTGCCTGAAGCGACTGAATGTGTCGATTGTAGTCTTTGACCTTACAGAAACAAGCTATGACGGGGTGTTTTGAACGGTTTGGTTATTTGAATATCTAAGAGCTGGTCAGCGTGCTCGGGGCCCTTGGATTGGTTGTTATGACAACGGCGTGGTGTCCACAGCCTAGCAGACATCCGTGGGTCACATGATGCTCACCCTGGACAAACAGATGTGTCTGTAGCCGTAATTCCCCTTTTTTTCTGTACCAAACCTGAGAAAACATTGGTGTTTTATGTGATTTAATTGATGTAACAGGTTTACTTACAGTATATACTCACTCAACTTTTTTTGCACTATTAGTATTTGACAGATTATTGCTTGTTTTGTAATCAGAAATTTTACAGATTATGTAGTGATTATAGCTAAAAGCCTAATATTAATATATTAATAATCATTAGAATTGTAATTATATACAGTGAGACATTGCATTTCTTTTAATAGTTCTTATTATTTTAATAGTTCACTAATATTAATAATAATAATAATAATAGTGATAATAATAATAGTGATTGCTTCTGTTACATTTCTGGGACCTAGAGTTATAAAATGAACATTTGCAAGGTGGCAGACAGCTGAGAGAATTCCTGAAAAAAGGTAAAGTCTTGGCAGCTCATCCTGATTTCCATAGTGTTGAGCAGACATGAGGCATCTGACACCCCAGCTGGTTGGGATGCTGCCTCAGCGCTGGGATTACTGGGTGGAATGCGATGCGGGGATTATTGGCTGGGTGGACTGGAGCAACTGAACATACTGTTGTGCAGCTGAACATGCTGGGTCTGTGCAGGTGCTGGAAACTCTCATATACCAGTGGCCACTGCAGAATCTTACAGTGAACTGAACAGTGATCAGGAAAAGCTTTTGAATCCTCTGGCCTCTCTACAACTGAATCAGACAGATCCTAAAACAGACATTCTTAAGAAAACCAATTTAAAAAGAAACCATAAATGTTCGATTTGGCAATTTTACAAAAAACATAACTAGAGCTCGGACAATGAGAGCAGCGTGCACAGGACTGTGAGTCTTGAGCTTCCAGCAAACCTGAAACCCTGAGTCATTCTGCAAACGCTGTGACCTTGGCATTTTTGTGGATAGTTATTTCAGAAGCCGGCAGATTATAATGTACTGTAACTTTACTCAGCGCAATGTTAATTGAAATACTCATGCCTTACTTTTCAATTGTCTGACATCCTTCACATGCGGTTTCACATGGACTGTAGCCGGAAGTGTAATCTCAGCCAACAAATGTCCTGATTGCGCTGGCTGGAGGAGTTTGTGAAAAGTAGGACAAACACCAGGGCAACAGTCCCTAAGCGTGACTCATGTGACTCAGTCTCCAGAAATAAAAGTCCCTCGTGTTGGTAGTTCTAAACTGTTCCTTGCAACCACTTTTAACATTCTGCCCTGACTTGGTAGTGTGAAATGGTGCTTGTTAGCATGCGAGAACACATTTCAGAGGAAATGTGCACATTGTTGTATTGTTCTTGCACTGGTATACACGTAACAGTGTGTCTACTGATACACTTAACTCAATCAAAGCTTAAAATGGAATAATAGGAATTGTGGGTTCCGGGTCAACATACAGTAAAAGTGGATCTCTGGAAATGATGGATTCTTATCCACAACTTAGTGAATATAACAATGTTTTGAGTTGTGAACAATTTGCGTTTAAATCTTTTTTTATTTTTTATTTTGTACTCCCTCGTAGTCCAGTAGTTAGGGCTTGGCACCCTCAGTGTTGTGGCCCAAGTTTGTTTCCTGGTTAGGGCAAGGGTTTAGGTGTATTTTACTAGCAGTTGGGCTGAAATGCTTCTCCTTTGCACCATCCTTGTCTTCTCACTATCGTCTATTAATGCCACTGAGGTTAGGTGGGATCCATTCTGTCAGGATATCCTTGATTTGCTTGTGAGACACTGCTGTTGTCACAGACTGTTAGAGTTGAGACACTCTCTGGGACTGCTGTTTTGGTGTAGCAGGCCTCTCTGCTCTTGGCATAGGTTTTGCTGCCCCTGAAGACAAACAGATCGGCTCTGTTCTACCACTGAATAAGGTATTGGAAGCAAGTGAGTTTGGGTATGGAAAAAAGCCGAGGGACAAAAAAAATAGCTTGTGTTTTCCCCGGCAGAATAAATATCTCTTGGGCACATTCTCAAATGCCACGATTTGAAAGAGCAGTGTTTTACAGTGGCAGCGCAGGGCTTCTGAATAAGATTGCTCCGCATGCGAAAAGGCAGAGTTCCTAAATAAGTCAAGGGTTTTTCCTGCTAAATGTCAAAAGCACTCGATCACAACCATGGGCATTCCAGATCAGTGGAAGAAAGACAAAGCAAAATAAAACAAGTGCTTTGCAAGCATCTTTCAGAGAATGTTCCAGTCTAACATGCAATTATTCAAATTATGTCTGTCTCCTTTCTTACCCAACAAGTTAACATTTTGTTTCACTGAGATGATGATGATACAATTTATTACTGTACTCTGCTGCCCGCCAAGATGTCTGTCCACTATATAGCACTAACCCGCTATATTAAAATGATGCACTTAAAGCTCCAGTCCACGCCAAAACCATAGAAATCCTTACTGTTCTGTGCATAACCTTGGTGAGATGTCACTTTGTCACCAGCTGAATTCACACAGTGTTGATATACACTACACAGCCTGTGCATGAGAAGAATAAGGGTTATTTATAAATGACAATTTTGAAACTCAGTCACAGGCCTACCTGCGTTCTGACATGAAGCCTTAATAATATTTATACCTAAGCACCCCCTATACTCAAAAGAAGAGAAGCTTGTGGTTTTGTAATGCATGTTTGTTTCCAATTATTATTTTTAGTGAAGCTCTGCAACAGTGTCGTTATGCAAATGAACTCTTTTCAGGTCAGAGTCTCACACAGCCGACTGTGAGGAGGCCCCTGTTCTTCACACAATTCAAACATCTTCACGGCAGTCCGAGGAAGAAAGCACAGAACGAGGAATGGAGGAAAATAATTTTATGTGCATATAAAGAACGACGTAAACAGCCTGAGCAGCGTCTAGGCATCTTCTTTAATTTCACAGTCTGGGAGGTGGCAGAGAAATTAACGCCCGCTAGGATTGTGTGTGAAAGGAGAAAAAAAAAATGAAATAAAAGCTCCATTTCTAAAGCTCTTCTCCGTTTCTCGATTTACCAGAGCTGGTCAGCAGTCTCTCTCCTTCTCTGTCTCTCTCTCCACTCCCTCTGTTCACTCTCTCCCCCACCGTCATTTGTTTCTATGACAACCATTCTAAGGCATTATGCAGGCTGAAAACTACTTTTTCCTCTTTCATCGTGGTGCCTGGCCATTGTTAAGAGGCTCTGTGTGTGCCTGCAGCATTGAATGAAACCTGAATTAAAAAAAAAGACCGCAGAACACGTTTTGGTTGGACAATTTGTGTCATTTAGGGGGAGGCCTTAAAACAGCAGATACCAAGAAAACCTTGAGAGATTCACTGCAACTACTGAAAGCTTCATGTGAAAACCATGCCTTCCTTTTTGCTTGCTTGATTCTTGTTTCCCTTCTGCAGTTTTATCTTATTTTTCACGTTCCGTTTTTTTCTTTGTCTGTGGAATGGAGTATTTGTGGTTTCTGGGATTGTCATGTATTTTTCTCCTGCTGGAATGAAAGGGAGAGTGATTTAAAGCAAGCAGCTTTGGAAACACACCAGGCAGATGGTTGCTCTGGCTTAGCTGGTGAGTTGCTGGTAAGCTTTCACACTGCGATCTGTTGCAAATATGTGTCTTTCTGGGATTCTCTGTTTTGCCTGAATTCATTTCTAAGATGGTGCCCGTGATAGCAAGCACATTTTGTGGCATGGTTCTGCTGCAATTATGTTTGGTAAAACTGCCGCCTTTTTTCAGTGTTACATTACGTCTTTTATTTAAATAACTAAAATACGTGTAGCTTTTGCTTGCTTTTTTGGGGCATGGGTATTAATTAAATTGAGTTAAAACACTGCAACCTGCCTGCCAGCTTCTATTTCTACTGTTTTAGCTTCATGTCCGCAGCATTAAAATACCAAGTGCAGAAACTGACTTTCACCTTGAGCAAAGATAAGTTTGAATTTTTTCTAGCAAGACGTTTTTGTGCAGTAAAGTCTCGTCACAGTTCTCAAGGTTAAAGACTTGCAGCGCAATTGTGATTTATGCTAAAATGTTAGAAATGCTCTTATGCTTTTAATGATAAAATATTGTGAGGAAAAAATGTAAACTTCCCCTCAGGTTTTGCAGGTTTATTTAGGAACATAAGGTACTTTTCTATGAATTTATGCAACTATGGAACACACAAACTTAGTCTTTAAAAATTCTGTTTGAAACCCATGTGCTGTTTGTTCAAGTGCACACAGCATATTTTAGGAAAACATACTAATGTATTTACATCTTAAGAAAGCAAATGTCACTGCTCTAATGGGTCAGATATGTTATTTCACGTAGACGAAGACGCCTGGGGTGAAATGCAGAACCAATGACAGATGATGCTAAAGGAAGTATTTAGTTTGTGTACTGGTGATTTTCACAGCCTTGTGAAAGGTTAATAGACACCACCTCACAGATGTTGACAGTGTACATAAAAAGCAAGCATTTCATGTGAACCTCTTTTTATTTCACAGCGGGTTTGGTACGTAGTGGGGTCATCATGTTTCCATGGCAACCAGCACCAGCTGCAAGAGTCTCTTACACGATGCTTTACATTCATGCTCTGAAAGTCTAATAAGTGACCTTTTAACCCCAGATCAATCAAAGTAGAGCTTATCATGCTTCAGAGCTGTGATGTACTATATAGCTCTGAATTTCTCACGGGATCTCTGAGGAAGGTTTGTAGGCTATGTCTGTGTCAAGCCCTGGGATCACTTCGCCAGTAATTTTATTAAGCGTCTAAAATACATTAAGACCTATGTTATACAGTTTTATTGCCCTTTTAGTTTTATTTTCCCATCATTTACCATAATTTTCTTCTCAGCTCTCTAGTTTTTGTTATTTATAGAAGTCTAAGACATACAGCATAAGGCATAATCTGTAGCAGTATTGCTGTGTAAGATTCATAAAATGCTTTAATTGTTCTTACGTAGACTAGGATATACTTTAGATTAGAGCCAGATTCGCAGTATTCAATTCGATAAAAACCCTAGGATGACCAGCTCACCTGCAGTCCTGTGATCATGTGAACACACAGGATTTCCGTATTAGAACAGAAAGATTGACAAAAATATTTCCTGCATCGAGTATGACCTTGAACAGAATCGCCTGTATAATGTAACAGCTCCATCAAGAATAGCAGTGCTAGCATCTATAGCTTTATAACAGCCTTAGCTGTCTGCTCATTTTGTTCTTTATTGAAAACCAGGGAGTGCTAATTGTTTTATGGAGCAGTATGACCATGATGATTATAAAGATGGCATTCATGTTTCTGAAAAACAGTTTTTGGGGGCAGCATTGTCATGCTAATAAGTATTATACTGCCCTCAGTGAACTTTGTGTGGAATAAGTAGGTTACTATTTTCAAAGTTTGTAGTTTGATTTCACTGCTTTGGAATCTGTGCATTAGAAGATGTTCTTTGTTCTTGTTACTGTATGTTGTTAAAACCCCACTGATAATAATTTAACCATAATTTACATGCAATCGCCAAGACGCCAGGAGCTTTCTCAGTCAGAAAGCATCAAGGGCAAATTCCAAAGCTTGCTCATGGAGGAGTATTCGAAACAAAGAGTTAAAAGAATAAGTAGTCAACTCCTAGAGATATAAAAATATCACTAATGATTTGGTTTTTAAAACCGGATTCACTGCCAAAGTAGGATTGCATATAATGTGTTAGCACTTACATATTTCTGTTCAATTGGTTCAGTAAGCAGTGACAACACCGCGACAGTCATTTGGTAGTATCTGTATATTTGGTTGCATTTGTAAGAGTGATACATTTAGAATTGCCAGTAATGTTTCTGACACCCAGTTTGGAATAGCGTGCTGTGTGTTCCCTGGTGTCTTGGCTCACAGTTACACACCCTGCCACAGCACAGGGGAGAGAACAGGAAGTGCAGGGAGACCCCCTCCAGCCCGCCCACCTTCGAAGGGCTCGTCTTTGAGCACGTCACGGGCGGGACAGTCCCGTACCGGAGGTTCAGCTCCAACTGGAGAGGCGGCCTTCCTGCCGGAGCCCAGGAGGCTGCACGGTTCGCCAGTCCCGCCTCACCCTCTGCCGAAGTCGGCCAGCTGTGCGGTGCCGCTGTAAGAACCCCAGTCACAGTCGGATAGTGACGTGACCCGGGCTTAAACACCTGGCCACAGAGCACAGGTGCCAGTCAGCTGAGCAGCTTCCCGGCTGGAGCCGCGCAAGAGGCCCCAGATGTTTGTTTAAAAGGGAGTTTAACACCACACACAGTGGCACTATACTGTATGTAAAAGACTAAAGACATGTTCCAGTGGGATTTCACTGCTAATTTCCTGAAGCTTTAGATGTACGAGTCAGGATGTTTTACATAGTTGCCCCAGGGGTGCTATCTTTTTCTTTCATGTAGCCATCTCTGATACATGTGAGGTGTGAAATTATTTCTCTAGGTCCATACAGTGTGTTTTTTTTATGCCTTAGTAAGTCCTTTTGTGTGTAATGCCCATAGGCACAGCTTTGGCAAAATATTCAAATAGGCAAAGACATTTAAAATGTTTTCGTGAAAGTATCAAGGACGGACTTGCCTTTGCACATAACTTATGTATGTATTCCACAAGATACAAAGAGCCAAGAAAAAGCCGAGATCAAAAAGCATTATGCAGGAATTCATCTCTAGTAAATGATTAAGGTTCTGTAGGAAAAACATCATTATGAGGTTAATAGATGTTCCTGTGAAATTGTAAATGTATCTTTAAAGCAAAAATACTAGTGCTTTATGTATAATTAAGTCTACTTTGCAAATTACATAGAGGGGTTTTACAGAGGCAAGCCACTCTGCAGTGCAGCTTAGAGGAAGCGGAGGGCTGTTCAATATTTCAGACCCTTTACGGTGACTATTTCTTCTCTGCTTCTCATGCAGAGTGAGGAGAGCAGCAGTGCTAGTTTGTCAGTGTTTGACATCCTTTCAGGCAATGAATTATTGAGCTGGAGGCGAGCCGCAGCACCTGAGTGTATAGACCAACCCAAGGTGACATCACAGGTATGAGGTGATAAAAGGAGAAAACAAGCCTTTGAAATGAGAGATGTGGACTGGAGGGGGAGATGTAAAAGAATAGTTTATGTAAGTTTTGGTAAATTTAAGGAGGTTGTACTGCAGCACTGGATAAATCTGAGAAGCTGAAGTCATTAGTTAAGGGCAATCTGGGAGGTTTGTAAACTACCAGTATCTTGAATTGAAGTGAATAATGAACAGAAACCTAAAGTGAAGATGTTGCATAGTCATATTTTTGGTATTTTAGCTAAGGGAGTCTGAACTGATAAGAATATTACTCAGTTACTTTATAATAGGTTCAGAATCTAATCACAAGCATTTTTAATTGTTTCTTTACACTGCTAACTACCTAAGGAAAGTCAGGTTTCCACTATATATTGCAACAGTGAAATCAAAAAGTTTATATTGGAAATATCCATCTTAAAGGGGAACTGAAGTCCCAGTTTCTCAGACCAGTTTTTTAAATCTCGGTAATGAAATAAATTAATTGACACTATTGCAAAGTTTTACAAATTCCAAGTTAAGCACAACATGGTGAACTTTGTGAAAGTAGTGTCTAGTCGCTATGTTGTTGCAGACCTGTGTTCTCACCACAGGTGAGAATGAGAGTTCCCGAGAATTGCGATGTGAAGTGGCCCTTCCTGCTCACTAGTCACTGTAATCACTCATATTATGCAATGTAGGAACAAATAAGTGAAGGTTGTGCAGCAGACAATTCACAGCAGAAACATTCCAGCGTGATCTGCATGCAGAGTTAACAAGTAGTATTTGTTGGCAAAATAATCCCGAAGTCGAGAGCAATATCTGTATTGGGTTAAAATAGATGTATTAACAAGCCTGCTCGTTTACAGTCTAATAAGACCTCTTCACATTACCAGAAGTTTGGTTGCTTTGTTCTGAATTGGCGAATATGGTCCGGCACACACATGGTAATTTTGTCTATTTTTTAATGTAAATTGGCGGTTTCACACTTTACTGTGTACATTTTACTTTCACTATGGTTTGAAATGCCCTACTCAATGCCGATTCTTTTTAAACCCAAAACATAAAAATAGTGTTTCATTTCCCCTTTAATAGGTTGTGCATAATATCTCAATTTTTGTGGTCGTTTATTCTGTTTCAGGTATTATTCTGTTTCCCTTGTTTTATTATAATACGTTAAAAGAAAACATTTGTTTTTTCAAAAGAATAAACCAGCGTTGTGTAGTGGATAATTTGTTTGCTGTGTCAATTGGACATTAACGAGAATGTGGCCTTTTGTTTCCAGTGTTGGCAAAATTGTCCAATTATCAAAGCTTGGGGGGAGCAGAAATTCACTTAGCTATCATCTCTGTTTCCATCTGTAAGAGGGGAATTAGATTCAGATTACCCACGTCTCCTTGTATCATGTCTGGATCTGAACTGTCACCAGGATGTGATTTTATTGCAATTACTAAGCTGTCCTCTTTTCACAGGCTTGCATTTAAAGTGTGAAACTTTAAAGAACAAGTATGTGTTTTTCTCTCTAAAGTGGTCAAATTTGACATGCAGAACATTGC